CCCCGAAACAAAAAAAAAAAAAAAAAAAAATTATAATTTAATGGTAACCACAAGGCAGAAATCTATAATAGAAAATTCAAAATAAGAAATAAGAAATCAAAGCACACTGGCAGAGTAAATCACAACTATAAAAGTAGACTATGAGAGAGTCAGAAAAACAGCAAAACTAAAATAAAGCTAGAAAACATTTAGAAAGTGTTGTAGTAAGACTGTACCTATGTATAATTACTTTGAATATAACTAGATTAAATCCTACAGTTAAGAAACATAGAGTGATTGAATAGATAAATAAATAAGACCCCACTATATGTTGCTTACAAAAAATGTCACTTCACTTCTAAGGACGTGCCTAAAGCAAAAGTGAGGGAATATAAAAGATATTCTATTCAACTGGAATCTAAAAGAGTAGCCACACTTCGCATTAAATAATGCAAATTTTTAAAATCAAAAGCCATAAAAAAGTAAAGTGGAAGCTCATTATGTAATGATGAAGGGGTCACTTCAGCAAGAGGAAATAATTTTAAGTATATATATGTACTCAGTTACATAAAGCAAATATTAATAGACCTAAAGGGATAGGTAGATTCCAATGCAATAATAGTTGTGGATTTTAACACCCTACTTTCAGTAACAGAATTGTATAGACAAAAACTCAACAAAGGCACAGCAGATACATAGACCAATGGAGTAAAATAGAGAGGCTACAAGTAAACCTACAAGTAAACCCTTAAGTAAACCCACAAGCCTACACCTACGCACACAGAACAATGAAACAATGTGGAGAACCTATAAGTAAAACTCACACATCTACACATCTTTGACGAAGTTGCACACAGTGGAGGAGAGCCAGTGTTTTCATTAAAAGGCACTGGGAAAATTGGCTATCCACATGCAGAAGAATGAAATTAGATCCTTATCTTTTACCAGTTATAAAAATTAACTCAAAGCAGATTGAAGGCTTAAAAGTAGGACCTGACCTACAAAACTAAAAGAAGAAAACAGAAAAAAATGCTTAATGACCTTGGAATGAGCAAACGATTTTGCAAAAAGATCTCAAACATATGGGAAATAAAAACAAAAATAGGTAAACAGAACTACATCAAGCTACAAAACTTTTGCATTGCAAAGAAAGCAATCAATAGAATGGAAAGACAACTTACAGAATGGGGGAAGATATTTGCAAACTATATATCGAATAAGGGGTTGATATCTAGGACATACAAGAAACTTCAAAAGCTCAGTAGCAACAAGATACAGAATTAAAAATAGGCAATAGAGCTATTGCTCTATTGTGTTTACAGTGCTATGCTAGCCAAGACAGACGACCTAAGTGTCCCTCCACAGATGAATGGATAAACAAAAGGTGGTGTATAGATACAATGAAGTTCTAATGAACCAGCGAAAAGAGTGAAATGCTGTCATTTACAACAGCAAGGATGGAGCTGGACATCACTGCGTTAAGAAAAGTCAGACAAAGAAAGACAGGTCCCATATGATCTGATCTTGTTCCTATGTGGAATCCAAAGGAGTTGAGCACGTAGAAGTGGAGAGAAGAATGGAGAGTAGGAAGGAGGAAGAGATGATGAGTTTGATAAATGTGTGCTGATTTACTATTTAATAAGTGCAGGAAACTCTGGTGTGCTATTGCTCAATAGGTGACTATAAATAACAATAATGTGCTGCACATTTCAAGGAAGGGTTAGAAGAGGAGATTTTAAGAAGTTTTACCAGAACCAAGTGATAAATATCTGAAGAGATGGATATATTTAGCCTGATTTAGAAAACATACTGTGTATATATGTATGGGAACATTACAAAGCACTGTAATAAAATGTATAATTTTATGTACTATTTAAGGTGAATTTAATTTTAAAAATAGATTCAGTAACGGCATGGGATTAGACATGCCTAAATGGAATCCTGAATCCTGAATTAAAGTCTTGCATTCATGGTCTGTTGATTACTTTTCTTGTTGTAATTTTTTTATTTGGTACATGGGGTTTGTATACTTTAATGGGTTGCTATTTTATATTTTCCTGCATGTGTGCATTGTGTAGTGTTTAAATTGTGAAGATGTTGAAAATGGTATTCAGTGAATAAAGAGTATTTTCTTCACCAAAGGTACTGGATAACTTCATAGCTGCAAGCACAAAATGAACATGGACTCTTATACCACTTATGACATTTAACTTAAAATTTATCAAAGGCATAAATGTAAAAGCTAAAAGTAGAAAATTCTGAGAAGGAAATTAAAAAGTAAATATTAGTTATAATGACTTAGATGTTTCTTACATAGCTAAATCTCAAGTCACATGCATATTAAAGTAGATTTCATCAAAATTAAAACTGTTGTCTTTCAAAGGACGCTATCAAGATGAAAATATCACAAAATAGGAGGGAATGTTTACAAATCATATTATCTAATATGGCTCTAATATACAGAATATATAAAAAAAGCATTGCAATCCAACAATAAAAAGGGAAAAGAAAAATAATTTGGAAATAGTCAAAGAATTTGCACAGAAATTTATCCAAAGAAGATAACTAAATAGCCAGTAGACAATTAAAAACATCCACATCATTAGTCATTAGGGAAAGACAAATCAAAACCACGATAATATGATTTCGCTTCTTATCTCTAGGATCCTTACAAACAAAAACAAAGAACATAGATGTTAGAAGGATACAAAGAAATTGAAATCTTCATATACTGTTAGCATTAATGTAAAATAACGCAGCCTCAGTGGAAAAGAGCTCAGAAGTTTCTCACAAAGTAAAACAGCTTAGCCATATGACCCAGCGATTCTTTTTTTAGATACATGCCTAAGAGAACTGAAAAACATACACAGTCATACAAGAAGCTTGTGCATGAGTGTTTGATGGGTTATCTTTTCACTTTGAAAGTGTCCTTTGAAACAAAAAACCTTCTAATTTTGATTGTATCTAATTCAGTCAGCATTGTTTTGGGGAGCTAAAATAAAGAAACAAGCCAACTATTTATTAATGGGTGAATTGACAAATAAAATATGAAATATCTACACAATGCTATATTCTGGCATGAAAAGAAATGAGGTATTGATAAATGCTGTATCACAGATAAACCTAGCAAACATTATACTAAGTGAAAGGAGCCTGATACAAAGTATCTGTGTTGTATGGCTTTGTGTACATCAAAATGTCCACCAAGGACAAATTTATAATCAGAAAGTATATCAATGGTTGCAAAGAGAGAGAAATTGAAATGACTGCTAATGGCTGTGGGGCTGCTTTTGGCATGATGAAAATGTTTTAGAATTTTGTAGTGGTGATGATTACAACAATGTGACTGTACTAAAATGCACTTGCACTTACACTTTAAAATCTCTGGTGTAGGATGTGAATTATAGGTCATTTAAAAATATATAGGGCTCTTTGTTTAAAAATTATATTGTTAAAATTAGGTTCTATAGTTATTGATGAACTTTTTTGTTGATACTCTCTTACTTAATAAACCTTGATCTCAAAATATATTGAGGCTGCTTTAAGCTTTTAGAAATAAACATTATGTATATATTCAAGGTCAAAAGTAAGTGAATATTCTTCGTCTGTGTGAGGAAAGATGACCAATATCCCTGGTCATGCTCTAATACTTCTAACTTATTTTTCCTTTTTATTGAATTCATTGGTACATTCTAGGTATACAGTAAGTTACTTTTATATTTATTTTCACTATTAGTTTAATCTCATACATTGTGAAAAGCATACTTCTAATGAAAATAATATCATCAACATGAATATTTTAAAGAGTTAGCAGACCATGGGATGGATGTATTCAAATCAGCTTAATATAAATGATTGATGATGAATCATAAGCACAACCTCATTTGTTTTTTATGTTAATTCTGCCCTTGAAGTTTTTCTCTAGTGTCTCTCTTTGGCCTCTCTCCTCTCTCCTAGGTGCCACTTGTGTGCTAAAGAAAAAATTCTCAGCAAGTCAATTTTGGAATGATTGCAAGAAATACAATGTGACAGTGTTTCAGTACATTGGAGAACTTTGTCGCTACCTTTGCAGACAACCAAAGGTAAGAGTGATCGTGCTATACAGACTAAAATGCTTCAGAAAGGGTAAGTCTTGGGAGAGCGAGGTAATTTTTACATCTTTACGCACCACACTCTTCCAGAACATAATTTAGGTGAGAAAGATGCTTGCAAACTACTAAGGTAAAATGAATGCAAAAGTCAGAAACAAATAAATGGAAAGCCATTCAGAAAAGTACTAACGCACATTGTGCTGTTCCAGCATGGGACACATACATTAGTTAAAATCTAATTAGTTTAGACTGATTGAAATTATGTCAGATGCATGCTATGTTTACACAAATCAGTTATTCCAAGATTAAAGCAGATGTTCCTTGAAAATGCTGATCTTTAAAATAAAACTAATGACCTGATTATACTTGTTTTTTCCTATATTCTTTTAAATAGAGACTTTATATTGGAGCCTATTTTTGCTTTGTTTTACTTTAAAGAGAAAATTTTTGGACTTGTTTCTTCACTGAAAGTCATTTTCACATTCTTTTAATTAGTTGCAACCATCTGAAAAGCTGACAGGCCTAGAGAGAGAGTTGATAGAGCCTGAAATTTGTCCTTTTCACTTTGCTTGCATTTTGGCCCTCCATGTTATTTTTCTTTTTCCTGGTCTCATTTATCTTTCCACATTTTAATTTTTTTAAACTCTGTGATTTTCCAAACATTCTTAACATTATGAAGAACTCTTTCTTTAATCAATCAACATCAGCCCCTTGGAGCATGGCAGTTCCAGACGACTTCCAAGTAGGGCCAAGCAGCAGGGCCTTTGCCTGAGACTTTCTAAGTCTGGGAGCCCTGGAGGAGTCTCTCACTCCCCACCTTTGCCACTGTCATACCTGCTTAAGGCGTGGATGGTGAGTTGTGCTGTCTTTTCTTGTTTCTTCTGGTTAAAATTTGGACAGTTAATTTCTTCCACTAATTACCCACAGCACATTGAGACTAGGCTAGAAACATTAAAATAGTTCACCATTAAGGAATACGGGATTACACAGAAGAGATGAACAGAGAAAAGAATGTGAAATCAGATAATTTGCTTTACAGGATGCTTTGATTCATTTTGAGCTTGGAGGTTACCATGGAGAGAACTCTATTCTACCTCTTGACCACCTCCTTTGAGCATAAAGTATCCTTAATCATTTTTTGTCAGGAGTGTTTCAAATAACTGTAGCTTCCATAGGTCCGTAGTAAATCATGAAATTCCAGAGAAATTCCACCCTTTCAAATATTAGGGATGAAATCCAATTGACTTTGACATTTCAATACTATTTTATTTGAACAAAGAACATATGAAGATCTTTTAAACTGGGAAAGGATTGTACAGTTTTATTTGTAATTTTATGAACTAGAAGCATAGATTAATTTTCTCTGTTTAGTTTATTGGCTGGGTAGAATAGTTCTTGTTTGTTTTTTAGCTGTCTTGTTCTTTTAAAATATCTCTTCAGAGTCTTTTTTCACATCTGTTTGAATTCTTCATAAAATAAAGCTATTAGTAATGTCATATTGGCTATATATACTTTTTCTCAGTGCTTTCTTTAATTTAATTTAATTAATTTATTTGTTTATGCTTATTTATTTATTTTTGGTGCCGGGGATCAAACTCAGAACCTTACACTTGCGAGGCGGGTAGGACACCACTGAGCTAAATCCCCAGCCCTTTTTGTATTTCTTTATAAAGTGAAATAACTATTGCAGCCCTGTGAATTTGTATTGCTGTGCTTTAGGAAAATATGATAGCTGCAGAGAATTTAAGAGAAACAAGAATTGAAAACAGAGTTCCTGTTTTATAATTATTTTAATGTTAATATCTAATTCTTACTGAATATTTTTGAAGAAAAGATGATGTTTACAAAGTAATCTCTAAATGCTTACCCAAATCTAAATTGAGTAGTCAAGAAGAAATTCAATTTTGTCTATAGAAAATAATTCTTTGTGGAAATGTTACATTTTCTAATGTTTTGTTGATTTTTACATAAAATGAGTACAAGAAATTCCTGGCATTAAAGATTAGGGAAAAAAAGTAATTTGTCATGACCCAATTCATTCAAAAAGACCTTGCTTTGGCCACCTGAGTTCAAACCCCAGTATCAAAAAAACGAAACAAAACAAAGAGACCTTGCTTTTTTCTGTCCAAACTCCTTACAGTGACCTTGCCCTAAAGGGAATGGACAGTCTCTGCTACACAGCCAGCTCAGCTGTGGATTCAGATAGGGCCAGAGAGTAACAAGTACCACAGTGCTTTCCTTCAAAGAATTAAAATCGAGTGTCTCATCATCCACGCAATGGAGACTCATGCACGTTTATATAAAATAAATATTTAAGTAAAAGAAATGGAAACCATATGTTTCCTAAATAATTCCAGATTTGTTGTTAATCTCAGGACAAGACATATGTTCCCAAAGAGATATACCTGCAGGCAAAAGTTCCAGTCTGAGTTGAGTGTTTATATAGGCTTGCTTAAAAACTCCTGATGCTGGGTTCCTTGTCTGGAAGCACTTATGCAGCCCGATCCCCCAGCCCCACCTACTCAGCCTCTTCTTATGAAAACTCAGGTTGCTATGTTTCTTTGGAAAAAACATTAAAATGACTCTTCGGATGGCTTGCGGCAGCAGTTGGCTTCAGAAAGCCAGAGGGACAGAGTCCTGCTCATCACGGGGAGTGGGGGTAATTGTCTCCTTCCCCTAAGTCTAGGATGGCATCTCTTTTTCACTTTCCATATTTCAAGTTTTCGGCATTACTGAAACACGAGCTTGTAATTCCTGGTTGGAGCTACTTGTGTTTTATCTTACTATTAATGCTACCTTTAATATTCATTAGTGAGGAAAGCGAGGGAATACACTGTGGGCTGGGGGATGTCTTGCTGCAGAGTCTACCTTAAGATTCTAACTCTGCCAAGCCAAATGCAATCTCTACTCATAAATATGTCACTCCCGCAGTCATTCCTTCCTCTGAGCAGTAATATATAAACTTGGGTAGAAGGGGCACAGAAGACAAATCTGACAGCCTTTCTAGTCATCTTATGTTTTAGGAGAGAAGATAAAAGGGGGTGTGAATGGGCAGAGAAAATACACCAGCAAAATCCATGACATGAAGTCATTGTAGACAGTGACAGGTGTCGCGAGCAAAACCGGATGAGGTGGGCAGTAAGAGCAGAACGCTGCTGACCAGACAGTGTTGGGGGAGCACCACACGGAAATGTGAATTATAAATCAAGGAACTGGTGTGACAAGTGGAACCCAGGCACAGGGAATCTCGCCAAGCCATTTTTATTGTTAAGAGACCCTTTCTTTTCCTTCCATGAATTCTTTCTTGCTTCAAAACAAGAAAATCCCCCAGTTTTATACCATTTTTGGCCCTATGATTCATATCATGCTGTTTGCTTTATGCCTTCTCTGTAATACTCAGTTGACCTGCTACCTGTACCATTTCAGTGTATAATATTGAGTAGCAAAGAAAGCCAGAAGAAAACTGAGTTTTGCAATGCATAGTTATTGTTGTTATACGTATGCATTGGTGTGACTCTGGTGTATTCCGAATTATCAGTAGGCTTTGGTAAAAAGAATTCTTTTATAAAGAGAATCATAATGGAAGGATCAAAATCCCCAATGTATAATGTAGGAATGAGATCATGCTTTTGATTATAAAACAACCCAGAGCAGCAGTCAAAAGGGCCTGTCTCTCCTTCTATAAATATTTTCTTTGTTCCCTCAAACTAAAAATTGATACAAAAATTGCTTGTATTTAAATAGAACCTCTGCAGTTTCACTTTCTATACATCTGAAGAGACTGAGTGTGTTCAGTCTAAGTGTGTTGGAGAATTCTGATAGTGGGATTGAGCCCAGGTATAAAGAAGGACTTCACTTGTAGGAGGCCACTGTTGAACTAGTACGAGGTCACTTCTGGTTGACCCCTGCCTCACTGTAGCAACTCAAGAGACACTGCTTGGCAAACAGGTCCCAAGGAGACTTTTAAAAAAATCAGAGCCTTGTTAGAAAAGCATGTGGCTCCTTTGCCGGTAACATCTAATCAATTTGATGCGTGGGACTAAGAACCAGAGATGATTGTCTGCGGCGTTCCAAGACCCTGGAGTCTCTGTCGAGACCCTTGACCCATTTAGAAAATTATTGTAAAATTTAAAAGGGATTTTTAAATGACTGAAGAGGAAGTGGAAATTTGCTGTACATTGGAAAGAGGTTTATACTCTGTGTGTGAAAAATAAAAGCAATCCATAGTGAAACTGTGAAGGGGGTCTATGTGCTCTTTTAGATTCATTAAAGGCAAGACTCCACGTTTTGATGGTTTTCTACTATTGAAACCATGAGGATAGATGTGGTAGAATACGGTAAGGACTTTTGAAGAATTTGAGAGATGCCTTCTCCCTTCTGTACATAGCCTGTGAACACCTCTTATCCCTGTAGTGTGAGTGCTGCTCTGGGCACTGTCCTGGGCAGTGGGGTCCGGCAGAGATCAGAGCAGGCGTCAGTCCCCACTGCCATACAGCTTCTATTTTATGTAGTTCAAATTCTGCTTCGACTTGGTTCACAGCCTTGGGCCCAAACTTCACTAACCCGATTTGCCCACACAGCAGATGTCAGGAATGCTTCCTAATTCGTACGACGACGACGGTGGTTTCCATGAGAAAGTGGAATACCTGAGTATGGGGGTGCAACATGCCCAATCCCTTCGCTTTCCTCCATGTGCTGTAAACATGGATCTTGTTTCCTGCTGTGCTGTCTGCAGCTGTCCCTTTTCTTAGTGCCGCCCTACTCTGGTTCCTGCTTTAGAGTGTCTCTGCATGTCTCTTCCGTGTGTCTCAGCACGTTTCCCTCTGTGTGCCGTGCTGGGTCTCGTTATGTGTATCCAGGTGTGTGTCTCTGTGTCTTCCTCTGTGCGTGTATTTGCGTCCAGTTTGTCTCTTCAGCGTGCTATTCTCGGGGGGGTGGTGTCTGCGTGTGCGTGCATCTCTGAACCTGGGACCCTCTGTGGGTCCTTGCCTCCCTTTGTGGAGGTGCCTCACTTTGCATTTTTGTATGAGCGCGTGAGCGTATTTCTGTGTCTCTCCACGTCCGTCACAGTGAGCCTCTCTGTACCGGTGTGTGTCGCTGTCTGAGTTTTGCAGCTTCCAGTTCACTCTCTATCCGTTTCTCTGGTTTGTTAATATTTTTCTCACGTTCTCCCTCTCCTCCTTTTGTCATTGTCTGGCTCTCAGTCTTGCTCTGTCTCTCACCTTTTTCTCTTGTTCTTTGTCTCTATAATTATCTTGTACTTTTGTTCCACCCTCCCTGTTGTCTCTGTCTCTGGAACACACTCTTTGTCTCTCTTTTAGCCTCGGTCACTCCATATCTTTCACTTGCAGAAGTACACATGCATGTAGATGCCATGTTTGTTCATGTAACCGTGCTCTGTATTCATGCATATTCTCCTCTTTACATTCCCCACATAGCTCAGATATTTAGTGGTCCCTAGCAACAACCTCGTATTTTAGAAAGAATAAGAAGAAATAGGAATTTGCTTTAAAGAAACCTGAAAAAGAGACTTACAGACAGAGAAGGGAATGTTTCCAAGATTTACTTATAACTGGCATGCAGAAAACTAAGAATAATCAATCAGTAATGTCTAGATACAACAGGGCCACTTTTCCAGGCTTCCCTTGCCATTCTGGTGACCTTTATTCTTCCTCACGTTATCATCCCACTGACTTGGCTTTCCATTTCTGTGACCAGAAGCGGAGTTCTTAGCCTCATCATCTCTGATCTGAACTGCTAGTCCCTGGCACCCCCCAAGCCACGGTTCCAGTTGGTGTCCAGTTAACGTTCTCGTATCAGTCACTACTTACTGCCCTTCCCCAGCTTTCCAGTCACCTTCCAAGGATTACTGGTAGAGATTTACAACACATAGCTGGTTAGTTTTTTTTTTAAAGGTAGTTGCTAATTATTATTTTTTTGTGTGTGTGGCACGGCGGATTAAACTCAGGACCTTGCACTTGTGAGGCAGGCACAGCACCGCTGAGCTAAATTCCCAGCCCCTGGCTAGTTTTTTATAAAAGGCTCCACAGACCCAAATTTTGCCCATGTTCCACTGTGTTCAGTGTGTGTAGGAAGCCAGGCCTTTGACTACTTTGATCAGGCTATTCATCTCACTTTGAAAATAAAAACTAACTTTTGGCTATCACCAAGGGATCAAGCCACTTTGATCAGGGTACATAAAATGGAGGCCCAGAAATCTGGAGAGGGAAGATTAATGAATGCATATTTGTGGCATCAGTTATTGTGCAATGAACAAGATGGTGCTGCTTGAGTATTAAGAACTTTTTTCTATTTCTAATTTAGGACAGGGATCAGCAAGCTTTTTAAGTAAAGACCGGGTGAATAAATATTTGCGGGTTTGTGGACCATAGTATCTGTCTCACAACTACTTAATTCTGCTTACGAATCTCACAAGTAGCCATAGATTATCTGCAAATACTTGGGCATGGCTGTATTTTATGAAACTTTACTTACAAAAATAAGAAGTGGTTTAGATTGGACCCCTATAGGCTATGGCTTACCAAACCTTAACTTGGACTTTATGATAATCCCTGTAAAACAAAATTTCTAGTACCGTGAAAATCTTTTAAAAACTTTCTCTTCTCTCTTCTCCCTCTTTGCCCCTCTTTGATCAATCTCACTTTACTTGCAATGTTACTGTTTTATTCAAGTCACAATGAAGTATAAAATCCAGACATAATTCTACTGCCACGTAACCAATGTGCAATATGCTCATAGGAAGTGTACTAGAACACAATTGCACTGCGTTGGACTGAGTGGTAGAAAAGAAAATTTTGTCTTGGAAGGAACTTCTATGATCTAGTGAGGTCTTTATCTATCTGGAGAATAGTTAATTTAAACCTCTTTGATGTGAACCTATGTAAATTAACAGGCAAGAGTGTTATTTCAGATGATTCCACAATATTGATTCTTTTTTTTTCAACTGAATATTTTTCTTCGTCAAAGTAGTATGAAATAGTACTCTCAGGTTAAACATTCTACGTTATCAAAACTCAATCTACAGAAGTCAGCACTTTTCATTTTCATAGGATATTTCTGGTTATTATTACCCACCATATCTCACAATAAATTGTATGCTACTATTTCTTGACTTTTCAATTTTTTAGTTTCATTTTAAACTGGAATATAAAAGTATAAAATTGTACACATTTGAGGGACACCATGCAATGTTTTGATAACAGTATACATTGTATAATGTTTAAATCAGACTAAACATATTTATCTTCTCAGATATTTGTTACTTGGGATGCTGAAGGTGGGGTTCAGTGGTAGGTCATTTCTTCGGCATGTATGTGTGAGTCCCTGTGATAAGCTTCTGTTTAACAAAAAGAACTTATTTCCTTAGGGTAAAACCTTTCCAAAATCCCTTTTCTAGCCTTTTAAAATTGACAGTACATAATTATCACCTGTACTCCTTCTACTGTACATTGGCAGACTGATTTTTCAGTTCTAACTATCATATACCTGGCTTCCTATGCACATATACATATATGATTCTTCTCTCTTTATGCTATCAATAGTTCTGATAGTTTTAAAATATGTTAATAACCAGTTTTTTATAATTATAAAGAAATAAATTTTATTATAGCTGAAACATATCGGGCATACATAATTACAGTTTGGCTTTTTCCTAAGATTTCACGGTTATAAATAATTTGGCCCATATGTAACAGACTCTCCGATGCACTGTCTGTATTATGATGTTTAGCAGTATACTTGTTTCTTAAATTCCAGGTTTTCTTCTTTTCTTGCTCTTTTCAAGGCTCACTTGAAACTTGCAAGCTCATATGAGGGGTACTCACACGCAGGTTTACATTTCAGATCTATCCTTTCTGCCTAGTCACATACTTTATATCTGTTCATTTTCTAAGCCCTCCAAATTACCTCTCAGTCTTTGTTCTTGTGAGTTTATAGACTAAATTATTTCTTTTAAAGCTGTTTTAGGAGTTATTAGAAAAGAATTTCAGACAAATAATTGTAAGTACCCTGGACGTTGATTTTTTTCTATTTTACTTTTGTTACTCTTTAATGTTACTTCTGTTAATTTTGTATTACTTTTGGTGATGATGAGGTGGCTCTGAGAAAAACACCAGTTTATTTTGAGTAAACTGACAATATATTCTTACTTCAATTTTAGGTCAATGTATAATTCCTGTTAATCAACACAGTGTTCATTGAATATATAACAAAACATAACCTTATTTTTCCTTTAATGATAAAATATGAAATAGAAATGAAATTGTGAGAATATAGCACATCCTAAAATAGTAGCCACATACACTTCTCATAATATTTTCAAGCCAAATATTTCACTGGTCCTGTAGCCTCAACTAGCTGTTCACTGTACGCTACGTTTTGAGAGTCAATTTAAGACTGCAGTGTATAAGTGTGATAGGTACTGTCTTTGTTTAACAGATGCACTGCTTATAAAGTGGAAGTCAACATATTATCCAAAATTAAATAGCTAATAAATTACAGCCTTGGGACAATAAAATCAAGCATATTTTATATTTTAATAATATTGTAAAAGTAATGATATTTTCCCTGAAATGTGCTTTATTTTTACCTGATATCTACAATTTTAAAAATCAAAGTCTTTAGTAATCTAGAAAACTGAAAGAACTTGTCCCAGAAATGGGGAAGGACAAACTGTATCCCTCGCTCTTGGACAATGCTGCTTTTGTTAGATGTTGGACACAGTTCTGGAACATATTTACATGAGTTTTCCTTTTACTTTTCTGTTGTGCATATGCAGCTTCTTTTTTCCATTTAAATAATAATGAATGAAGAATTAAGAACTGGAATTAATTACAAGTAATATCTTTTCTCCCAATAGAGAGAAGGAGAAAAACATCACCAGGTGCGTTTGGCAGTTGGAAATGGTTTACGAAGTGATGTATGGAGACAATTTTTAGACAGATTTGGAAATATTAAGATGTGTGAATTTTATGGAGCTACTGAAGGAAACATTTGTTTCATGAACCACACTGGGAACATTGGGTCAGTCGGGAGAACAAATTTCTTTTACAAAGTAAGTTTTGTATTATATTTCTAAAAGAAATATAAAGAAGTTGGCTATCCTGTTCCTAGACTTTAAAATTACTATAATTATTATCACTTTTTAAAAACTTGAGATCTTAAGTATTTGTTGTAAATGAACTATAGTATTATAGGTTATCCAAAGCCCAGTTATCTTCCATGTTTTCACTCTATGACATGTGACTAATGATATGATGTAAAAATGGTAAGCATAGGTCCTGATATTTACTAATTTTATCTTTTAATTTTCCTTGAGTATTCTTATTCTACCATTGCTAATTATCTTTCATTGTTCATATCACTTAAAATTAAGCACAGGCTTCTAATACTATTTTTCTTTAAAGTTTTTCTTTAAAACATCACTTCAAAAGCAGCCAAAGAAATTACCTTTTTAAAATTAAAAGCTTGACAGCTAATTGCTCAAAAGCAACAATGACAGGGAAAATGGAGTGGAGAGATGTCCTTAACTGCTCTGGGGAAATAACTATCAAACACAATTTATACTAAGCATAATTTTTCAAAACAATAAAGGCAAAAAGAAAGAAACTTTTCAAAATTTATAAACTAAAAGTGAAATTAAAATATCTTCAATAATGGACAGTATTTAAATAGTACAATAAGCAAACTACTTGAACTTGTAAGCATATAAAGCTAGATTTTTAATAACTATAGAACACCTAATTTTCTTAAGCATCCATGAGGCATAAATAAAAATTACTGCACCACTTAAGAAACTACAACAAATCTCAAAAGACTGATTATATGGATTATACTCTTGGCAATAGTTTGAGTTACAAATAAATTTTTAAAAGGCAACTAGTTAATCTATGTTCTCAGAAAAATAATTGGGTCAACAAAATAATGGGTCAACAAAAACAACTTATAATAAAGTTGGAAGATATTATGAGTGGAATTATAATGAAAATGTCACATTTAAAAACTCCTGAACTCAGCTAAGAACAGTTGAAAATTAGTTGAATGAACCTAAATGTCCACCTGTATATTAATTTTTAAAATATCAACTAAAATAAACTCAAAGAAAATAATGAACAAAAAATAATGAAACAAAACATTCAGTGAGGAATGTCAAAAATATAATTTTAAAATAAAGAATTAGACTTTGATGAATAGAGAGAAGGCACAACTAATAATATTAGGAATGGAAATGGAACATTACCACTGCTGCTTTAGAAATTAAAAAAAATGATAAAAGGATATATAGGAAGAGTTCATACCGATAAATTTGAAGTTATTAGTCAAATTGGACAAATTTCTAGAAAACTACAGCCTAGCAGACTCACGCAACAATCATCACACTAAATAAAATGAATTTATAAAACCCAATTTTTTCCTAGTCTCAGACAACTTCCTTGTTAAGTGTATCAAATATTCAAAGAGCACATTATTCCATTCCTAGATAATGGCAAAGAAAATTTGCAACTCGGTTTCTGACCGTAACATGGACACAAATAGCACAAGAAGAATAGACTGGGGCCAGTTGCAAGGATACGCTTATAAGAAAGGCCTTCCTTAGTCAGTTTTCCCTCCGATGATGTGCTTCCTTAGGGGCCAAACCTGTGACTCTGAGGGTTTCAGAGTACCACACTCAAGCCTTTTTTGGAATTGTGTTTTAAAGGCCCTAAAGAATTTCATGGTGCAGATTTTGGCACATTTATATTACTTGGTTCCTCAACTTCTTTAGTTTTACGGAATAAGATTTCTGTGTCACAAACTCCCTACATCAAAGAACACCTGGCAGAAACAAAAGAAAAATGTATTTGGCTTTCTTGTCAGTGGTGATTTTTCTCAGTGTCTGGAAGTAACTGATATATAGATACACATCAAGCCACCTACTGAAGGCTTTTATCAATCATACTAACTTTTTAAACCTAAAGAAGGAGCAGGTCACTTTTATTCTTTGTATTGTTTTAGGATGTCAAAGGTCTAGTTTATTGATCAGAAATGCACTTGTATTCTGGACAACAGTATTTTTGGAAAATGACTGTTGATGTTCCTAAGTTTTGCATTCCTTACAGCTAAGTTTCTCAACTCATCACAATATTTGCATTATAAATTTGTAGTGAAGTCATTCTAAAGTAACATTTAAAGAGCATGACAGAAGTGATTTCATTTTCTACTACTGACTTGAGTCTTTTATAATTTTCTTATGCTTTAAATTCCTTCTGTCAGAGGGTTATAATGACAATTAATATGAAAAGTCATTATTTACTCCAATTTATTAGGAAAACTTTTAATTTTCAACTTATCTTATTATAACTTTTTTCCAGTTTATAAAACAAAAGTTGTGCCTAATGCCATATAGATTCTAGGCTCTTTTATTATTTTTATATGTTGTTTTGCTAAATAAGAGCTAATCAGAAAACATATGGTCCAATAATTGTTTCATAATTAAATAGGAGGATTTGATAAGTATGTCTCTCAAAAATTTAAATTTAATAGAAAGTTATTCTTACTATTTCAGAGTGAAATCAGCCTCCAAACAGAGAGAATATTACAAGTGAAGGAGAAAGATCAATCAGCAACATAGAGTTCTTCTAATTAAAATATCTTTCTTATGTGCTATACTTACTGTAAAAGCATAAAAACCAAGGGATATTGTCCATACAGAAATGTAAAGCAACCAATATAAAAACTCTGGTTACACATTTGAAAGACAAATCCAATTAAAATTTTGAACAGCATTCTTACAATTTGGTAGGAACAAACATGAAATCTGTAAAGCACATAAACCTTGCAAAAAGAAAGAAAATAAATATAATAAAAAGTAGCTGAAAAATATGAATAGATATTAAAATAACAAATACTTCAATATAGCCAATAAATATTTAGGAAAACATTTTTCTACAGACTTGAAATATTGCAATATTCTCTTTAAAAATAAGAGCCAAAAAGAGAAGTTTTAAAAGTAAATAAATCAATAAAAGGTCTTAAAAAGTAAACATGCTTAGCTCAGAGAAAAACTAGGAAAAAATGAAAATAGTATGGAAATAAACACCACAGGAAAAGACCTGAAACAAAAGTGAGCCATAAAAATTTTAGGGAGCAAATGAGTGGGATCAACAAGTCATGAGACCAAGAGGAAAAAAAGCAACAGCATAATAGAAAGCAAAAATACATTTGGAAAATAGACAGTGCTCTAACGTGTGCATACTTGGCATTCCTGTAGAAAGAACAGATCAAAGAGAGCAATAATTATTTAAATTATAATGGAAAAAAATCCTTAAAATGAAGACTTGAACCTTTAGCAAAAAAGTACACTATATTCCAGGGAAAGAAATATGCACTAAGTGATCATCAGAAAAGTATATTCTGGTGAAATTATTCAACAGAAATTAAAGAAGCATAAGGAGATGCTGAGGGGGAGAATTCAGATTAGGTACAAAGTGTAGCAGGATTGAAGATGGGGATTATCTTGGGCATCTCTCAAAACAAAAACAAAATGCTCAAAGAAGGACAAAAAAGTAAAGAAATGTCTCCATCCAAGGATTTTGGTTGGGGCTAAAGTGTTCTTCAAGTATAAAGGCAACAGAGATTTTCTGAAAATGTTAAGGAATCAGAGAACATAATTCCCATGGATTTATAGAAATGCAATACTTCTCCATAAAATGCACTGAATAAGGGCTGGGTATTTGCACTGTGGTTCTGCCGTCTGCCTTGCAAGTACAGGGGCCCGAGTTTGATCCTGGTACCACAAAAAATAAATTAATTAAATAAAATAAAACAGATTATACAGTTTAAAAAATGCACTGAATGAAAATTCTGGTCACCTGAATATAAAGCAGAAATTATAAAGAAGGAATACCCTTAAATTGAAGGCTTGCTGATAAACATTGAATCTATTTCAATATAGAAGACTGAACAACACTGAATTACTGATAAAAATGGAATGGAAATATAAAACTTGACGATATAAACATATTTTTAACACTAACAAAATCAACAGCTAAGTGAGAAAACAGTAAGAATTATAAGTGGTAATTCTCCCTTCTTTCATACTGGCATACCTAAAGACACAATATCAAGATAAAACAGATTAAGAGAAAGGCTTTCTTAATACTTTTGTAGTCCTTTTTATTGTCTTAAAGTTGGTCATTTTTTTTAAGGATAAAGAAAGCCAACTGCACAGTTAGGGAGCATTCATACTCTCATGTCTGACATTAGCTGGAAAGTTTGGTTGTTGACTCACTAAAAGGATTCAGAAAACTCAATGAAGTGCATGAGAGTCATGGTTATAGATTAACACAGCTAAAGGTTGCAGATTTAAATCAGTCAAGGAGCAAATGCATAAGGCAGAATCCAGGAGATATGAGGGGGAGTTTGCAGATGTGCTCTCCCATGTAGTTACAGCAGCATGACCTTCCTGGAATTGATATGTGACAATACCTATGGGGTGTTGCAAGTCAGGAAAATGATGGGAGCCTTGGTGTCTAGAGGATCGCGTTAACTGCCCCCTGGATGACGTCCATCTCCTGTTCCTCAGAGGCGAAGTAGGATAATCCAAAACTCCTACCCTCCATCATTTGGTTCGTTTGGCTCAGAGACTCCATAGAAATGATATTGTTATTATGTAGTTGGTCCAGGTCTCTTAGACAAACACATTCCTAGAATAGCACTGCAAGGATTGATATTATTACCTCCCAGACTGAGGGTGAGGCCAGACCTCTTTCAGAGCAAGGTTAAATTCTTTCCTATAAAGGGATTGATAATTCACTTTGAGTCTCACTTTGCCTCTATTTGACTTCGATGGATTACATTTCTCTGTGTGTACACTTCTCTTAATATGCAAATGTACACAGGTATGTAGGGAAATTCACATGGCCTTTATATACAGCCACGTAATTGAGGATTGCACAGTCCTGGGAAAGCCATTTAGCAGGACTGCTATCAGTAAGTGCCCCAGAGATGAGCTTTGAGTGTGTACACATACGCATACATGTTTTTCTAGGCAGTTTGAAGCATGACGGCTATTTTTATTTCTGTTATAATGCTGCCACTGTTGTAATCTCATGGGGATAAGTGGAAGGCAGGAAGAAGTATACAGATACTTCTATCTGAACATTAATGCTTGGATCCAGGCTACTTCTAGAAAACTCTACTATAAGTTCCAAAACTTCTGGAATCGTTCAACCAGCCATTAGGCAAGTGACCAATATTTTGTTTTCTCAAATACAAAGGCAGACAAGATTCAGGTTTGCATTTTAACTTTTTAGTAATAAATACATTGAATAAATAAATTCAGTCAAGTTGAAAGATACAAAGTAAACTTGTAAAAATCAATATCATGTCTGTACATTAAGAACTGCCTGAATACTAATCTAGAACACAATACCCTTTAAAATAGAAGCAAAATACAGACATTAAGTTAAATAATTTAAAGGCTTTGACATAAATTGAACCTAGGAAGTAGAAAATCTCTCCAGAACAAGTCTTGAAGGAAGTATGAGATATTGGTTTTCACTGAGTACAACTTTGGTTCTTTCATAAATACTACTATAGCCAAGGTTTGTATTTTAATACAGAATGGAAATAAGGACATTACAGTGTTAAAGTAACTCAAAATCCATGGGCACGAGGGGAGACATTCCATTAGCACAGCTCCCAACGTCATGAGGATGAACTAACAATTCTGTCGTCTCACTCCACAATAGTTTACAGAAGTAATGAATGTTAGCGTAGGAGCATTAATGTGAAATCCCAAGATGAAAAGTCAAAGTAGTTATCAAATAATTGTACTTTTTTTAGTCATTCAGTCACTTTTCTAGACGATAAAGGAAACAATAAACAAAATGCTGACATTCTCCTAGCTTATATTTTACTTCTAGTCAGTTTTTGCTTTTCAAAAGATGGTATGAATGACCATCTTCTCACCTATAGTCAGAAGAATATGAAAATAAGTGGTTAGATTGCTTCTGTATTGTATAATTCATTCATAATAAAACTCAGTAGTGTTTTAGATAAAGTATAACAAAAGAAATAAAAGTAAATGCTAGTAAAAATAACATGTTTTAATAAAGCCATATGCTAGTTACTTCAACGGAGCATAAAATCAGTCAGTAGATGTCAAGGCACAAATAACTCACTGACTTTTTTTTTTTTTTTGCTTGATTTTGGTTTTGCAGCTTTTTTTCAATTTTGAATTGATAAAGTATGATTTTCAGAAAGATGAACCCATGAGAAGTGAACAAGACTGGTGTAGTCGTGTGAATAAAGGTAAGACTCATATTTGAGGGTATCTCCTTAAGCAAAGCTTCCCTCTTATGTATAATTCTTACTGAATTTAGGAAACAAATAATTACTAGTTCTAATTTGTAATTTGATTTATTTGAAATTTGAATACAGGTAAGATAGCTTAATTATTTATTAGCTATTGGTAGCCCTCACAGGGTCATTTGGAGGGCAAATTATTAAAATTAAAAAGTGGCCATTGTTTAGCTATTTTGCTAAATCTACCACTTCTAGTTTGTAATAGCAGCATGTGTCTAATGTTCTATGTCATGAAATTATTTGTTATTCTGGACGTGGTGAAAAGTCAGGCTAGCATTGACTAACTTTGAACTTTTGTACTTAAGAACTGCATCTATGGGCAGGGTTAGTCAACCTGAGTGTCATTTTTTATATGTAAGTTAGAGATAACATTTACTTCATGTGGCTGTCGGTGACAGGTAAATGAGATGTGTGTAAATTCCTGCAGCTTGTTCCCTTCTCTTTTCACAAAATATACCTACAACTTGAGGTTACAAATGATAATGGAGGACAGTACCCAAATTAGCTATATATAATCAAATTAAAAATAAAATGAAATGTAGAGATGTGCACTTAGTATTATTTAGATATTCAATCTGAATAGAACAGGTTAAGATTATTATTTACTGCCCTATATTCACTCAAACTGCATTTCAGAAGTGATTTCCTAAATGTTTACTTCAAATATGGAGCCAGATTGCAAACCTGTTTTTAATGTTCTGGTAGCTGACAGACTGAAAAATATAAGCTTTTTATTATTTGAAAAAATTCTCCAGTTCTCTGAATTTCAGGCCTAAAGGCATCAATCAAACATGTTTCTCTAATTCAACTTTGTGGACAGTTTGCATTAGAAAAAGGGAGCATCTGAAGAGGTTGCGAAGAACTTAAACACAAGCTTTTTTTCAGAAAAGCACAAGTGTTTCATTACAATTATCTGATATTGGGATTTGAATCTCAGAATTATGTGTATGTTCTCAGAGTTTCTTAAAATGCTGAGCCCCAAATTTCTACTTTACTATCTTAGAATTCTCATTATAAATTACTCAATTTTTTTACATTAAGGCATGGTGTCCTCACAATGTAAATTATCCCCAGCAAGACTAATATGAATGCACTATGACCTAGTAAATATTTGCAATCATTAGTTTGTCAGAGAAGAAACTCACAACTCTGTCCTGAAAAAGAAAAACAAAGAACATTAAGTCTTTTGAGGGTTTTTAATCTTTCTGTCAAGGATTCCCAGAATAGCATCCTAGAGTAGTAAACTATTTCTAAAAACTTCTAATAGCATATCAATATTATTAGAGCGAGTATTTATATTTTACAGGAAGTTTCTCACAAAATCATGGAGACTTAAATTTGAGTTCTAGTACTATTTCTTTCTCTCTTTTTTGGCAACTTACTTCACTCTTCTGGGAACTAGTTCTTTCCTCATGAAATAAGACATAGTATTAGTTTCAAATGATTTCTGAAAATAATAAGTAAAATGAAAATTGAAAGGAGGTCATGGTAGGTGTTCAATAAATATTCACTCATCGTTTTATTAAAATTATTATTAGAGTTCTTATTTATGTTGTTAATATTTTCTGTGTTAAAATCTATGAAATCCAAAATGAAAATAGCCATGGGGCTATCGACTCAGACACTTAAAGAAATTTAGTACACTTTTCCTTTGCTTTCAATTCTCTTTTTGTTGGTTTTTCCAAATTTGTGTTCTTGGTAATCTTTGAAAGGATCTACCTGCATCTACACTGACAGTAGGTAAAGTCAAATAGCACAGAAATAAATTCAAAGGAAAGTGAGGTAAGCTAGATATAATTTAGATGCATGCAACAATAGTTTTAATCAGATGACTGCAAAAATGTCCCTTTCTCTTGCAGGGGAACCTGGACTTCTCATTTCTCGGGTGAATACAAAGAATCCCTTCTTTGGTTATGCTGGGTCTTATAGGCACACAAAGAACAAATTGCTTTTTGATGTTTTTAAGAAGGGAGATGTTTACTTTAACACAGGAGACTTAATGGTCCAAGATCAGGAGAATTTCCTTTATTTTTGGGACCGTATTGGAGACACATTCAGGTACGAACTACATCAAGACTCGATCTGTAATTGTGAGCTGTGCTTTTATGGAAACACTGGAGACCACATAATCTTTATCTGTCAGCAGACAGAGCCCTTTCATAATGCTCCTCACTTAAAATTTATTGGCCATTTTTTTCTAGATTGGACCAGAAGTTAAATTTTGGTGTGCAATTCTGTAACAATTCTAATGAATTCGTTTAGTGTAAATATAAACTCCTTAAAAATGTCCCTTTCTCTTGCAGGGGAACCTGGACTTCTCATTTCTCGGGTGAATACAAAGAATCCCTTCTTTGGTTATGCTGGGTCTTATAGGCACACAAAGAACAAATTGCTTTTTGATGTTTTTAAGAAGGGAGATGTTTACTTTAACACAGGAGACTTAATGGTCCAAGATCAGGAGAATTTCCTTTATTTTTGGGACCGTATTGGAGACACATTCAGGTACGAACTACATCAAGACTCGATCTGTAATTGTGAGCTGTGCTTTTATGGAAACACTGGAGACCACATAATCTTTATCTGTCAGCAGACAGAGCCCTTTCATAATGCTCCTCACTTAAAATTTATTGGCCATTTTTTTCTAGATTGGACCAGAAGTTAAATTTTGGTGTGCAATTCTGTAACAATTCTAATGAATTCGTTTAGTGTAAATTGATAAACTCCTTTTTTTTTTTTAGTATAAAACTCTTTTAATAAAAAAATACAGAAAGAGAAATTTTTTTCCTTTTCCAATTTTTTTTAATCTCCTAAAATTATTTCAGGTCACCTTAGTAGCCAATGACTATAAAAATAGTAAAGGCTTAGGGTAAACATCTAGCAAATATTGGAATTAATAAATTATTCTTCCTCCTTTCTTGCCTTCTAGTATTGTGTTAAAAGTTCACTTTGTATGAAATTATTTGAATTAAAATGAAATGTTTGTATAAATTAAAGGAGCTGAAGGAATTAATACCTGTAAATTGAACTCTGTGTACTGAAAGGCAACTCTAGGCTGGGTGCAGTGGTACACACCTGTAGTCCTAGCTACTTGGGAGGCTGATGCTGGAAGAGGGCATAAGGCCAGAAGCTTAAGACCAACTCAGACAGTATACTGACACATTGTAACTCTTGCTCAAAAAAAAAAATAAAAGGAAAGAAAGAAAAGAAAAAGTAAAGAACAACTATAGCTTTTCTTTTAATTCCTTATATCCTCATCACCCAAAATAAGGATGTTTGTACTTAATACTGTTATTTTACAAAATATTTTTCTTAATAATCATTATAATTATTATTTTTGTTTTTGATGTTATTATAAAACATTTTACAGTAAGAATTTTTACCATTAAGGCTTATGCAAAGTAATTTTAAACAAAATATTTTTGTTGACTTAATCAATGAAGTACTTCCTTCCTTAGAAACAATTTTTGTTTTGAAAACTAGTTATTTTCAATCAGTAGGTGCTTGCACACAACCAATGCAAGGCATTAAAACTAAAAGTTTGCACCTAATGTTCCAAATACAGTGCACTGACTGCAGTTTGTTTTTCATTTAGGTGGAAAGGAGAAAATGTGGCAACCACAGAGGTTGCTGATGTTATTGGGATGTTGGATTTCATACAGGAAATAAATGTCTATGGAGTGGCTGTGTCAGGTATGAATAGATTTCGGATTGTGAAGGATTTTCAGATGAGATCAGGCACATTCAGGGTGGTATGACCGTAGACTTGAAGAATTTTCAGGCCGAGGATTTAGCTTAGTGGTGCCACCACCTGCTTTGCAAGCACAGGACCCAAGTTCGATCCCCGGTACCAAAAAAAAGGACTTGAAGAATTTTCAGAATGGAATGTACAAGGGTACTTTAGTTTTAAAAATATTTTTTCTGATTCAGCTTTTTAATTTTTAGATATTAAAAGAAACATCTTAAACTTGGAAAGTTAAATTCTTTGACTATGCTAACTCCATGGGCACATTAGGAGAAATGAACTAAATGTATTTTAATGTCCATGTGTATTTTTAAGCAGAGTTTGAAACTTTTGTTGAGTGACTCACTGTTTCAAAATAGTTGAAGCTTTTCAATAATAGTCCATTATTTTTCTTATGATGACTTGGGATTGTACATATCATTAAAGAAGAATGTGTTCTTGTTTAAATATTTAATAACATTAGCTTGTTTTTTTCAAAAGTTTTCTTTTAAATTTTATTTTTAAATTTGTGTGGCCTCAGGGCTGGTGATTTAGCTCAGTGGTTCCACCGCTGGCCTCACAAGCACAAGGGCTGGAGTTTGATTCCCAGTACAAAAAAAAAAAAAAAAAAAAAAAAAAAAAATTGGTATAGCCTCATACAATTATAATATATATTCTGTGTTTCATGATGGTGAAAATGATGTGTGGAAAAGTGATCAATTTGAAGTCAAAGAATATTTATTTTTGCTGTCTTTTTTGTTTTCAACAACTAAAAATATTTTCCAGTTAATTCTTACAAGAGTGTGAGATAGCAAGTGAGGAGTGTTTGACTAAGAGAACAAAAGGGATATGCATTTAATAAACCACCACTGGGTATTTGAGAAAGTCTCCAGTATGATCTGACCCACCTAAGATCCAGCATGATAAGCTGTGAGAAATCTATGGGATTGATTAAGGAAACACAGGATACTAATTTTAACTAAAAATTGTCCTTTATTTTTTGAATTAATGTCTAAACTGTGCATTCCCATTGGAATATATCTGCCTTTGAATAAATGTTTTCTGTCTTAGTACTTTTGCTAGTGGTGGTGGGAAGCAAAATATCGGTAATTTCAATTTTCCATTCTATGCATTTTATGTCTGTAGCACAGACGATTAGGAATAGATTATGGATTCCTTTGGGGAAATACAGACACTGATTTATACTACTGTTACATTCTTATCACTACAATAGTTTTAATGCCTCTATGGCAATAAATATGTTGACAGGACTTTAATTCATCTGGTATTTCAATTTGATTCTATATCAAAATTTTTTCCAGGTTATGAAGGAAAAGCAGGAATGGCTTCCATTATTCTAAAACCAAATAAGTCTTTAAACTTAGAAAAAGTTTATGAACAAGTTGTAACATCTCTACCATCTTATGCCTGCCCACGATTTTTAAGAATTCAGGTAATTCTGCAGTCTAATTCATACCTAAAATCAGAAGCCAGGAGGAGGCTTAACAACAATATAATATTACATCTTTTAGACTAAGTGGTGCTTCAGTTCACGAACTTAATTCTCTGCATGATTCTGCCTGCCTGCGAACTGAAGTGGATAAGAACTGAATCAAATTCAATGGCTAGGTTCAGTGTTGACCTTATGGGAAATTCAATTCTGTTCATGTCCCATTTGGTTTGTGACCAGAATCATGGATAATTTTGTGAACTGAGGTACCACTATCTATTTTATTATATTAGACTTTCTGGGGGAAGAAGCCTGTCTCTCATTGGATGTAGTATTCAGCAAAAAAGAGGAAGAATTTACTCAGCTTGGTATCTTTGCTTACTCATTTACCCAGTAATTTACTTATTAACATAGTGCCTCAACTATAATTTCCCAAAGATAAGTAACAGTTATCTCTTATCATCAAATCACTCAGAATCTTTCTTAATACATTTGTTAAATTACTGTTATTAATGGATCAGTAGGTGTTATCAGGTTTGCTTTTAGGGAATTTGCCAGGCATTCCTGATAGCCAAGTTACTGTCTGTCCAATGGCATAGGTCATTGAAACTGTCATAAGTACATATTTCATTTGCTTATCCTTCAGGATTTTACATACATTGTTTCATATTAATTTCATAATAGCCCTCCGAAGTACTAATGGCAAACAAATATGAAGCAAATGTAATATATTTTACTTGAAATTTTTGGGTTGAAATTCTTTGAGAAAGTTGTGGGTTAATATCTAGTTTTAAGAATCAGTGCAGAAAGATCTTACAAATCTTTTACCCACTTCATCCCAAAGTACATCTGTCCCGATCAGGATATTGACATAATCCACTTATCCCATCAAGATGTCTCTTATTTTATTTACATATTTATATGTTCTCTGTGTATTTTCTGTATGATCTTATTGCCTGTGTACTTTCATGCAGCTGTGAAGGTAGAAACAATTTCACACCTGAAGGTGGTCTTCATATGTCATTTTATGAACACACCTAATCTTCTCTGTCCTTTTCTACCTTACCCCTTAAGTAATGTATTTTGATCTCACAGAAAGTTAGTGGACAAATGATATTGTAGGCATTTTTTTCTTCCAAGGAAACTTAAAATTTACTTTCATTTAAGAGAAGGCATAGGACTTCTCAAAGGACTACTCTAGCAGACTTAGAGCAGCTTTGGACAAGTTTAGAAAATATTTTAATATTATTACAGTATTTGCTATCATTAGCACAAAACCTAACACTTAAAGCTCGACAATAAGCAGTGTAAAAAATTACATAATAAATTAACTATAGTAATAAAACATCAGATAAAAGTAACACAAAACTTAAAATTAGTTTTGACAAAATGAGTAAACTACTGTTTATTTAAAAATCTATCACAGAAAAGATGAAGAGGACTCTTGCCAATAACTTATAAAGTAATAATGTGATAATACTCAGGATGGCAACCGATAAAATAAATCATCATAACCTCTTTAGCAAATGATTTGGTAACATATGATCAAACCCTTAAGAATTGACGTATCACTGGGTGTGGTGGCGCACACCTATAATCCCAGCACTCAGGAGGCTGAGGCAGGAGGATCGCTGTGAGTTCGAGACCAGCCTGGGCTACAAAGTGAGTTCCAGGTCAGTCTCAACTACATAGTGAGACCCTGTCTCAAAAAAAAAAAGAATTGACATATCTTTGGATTTAATATTAACTTCTATAAATTTATTTTTCAGAAATAATAGATGCACAAATGTTCGAGTTGCTTTTCAAAGTATTATTTATAGTAGTAAATTTTTTTATTTTTATCTATTAGTTCAAGAATGAAGGCAAGGTTAATTAAAATGTAATGGCTACATAAGCTCTTATAAGGCCATTTAAATTTTATTTTTAACTGGTGACTAAAAACATAAAATTATGTATATTAGCAGAATACCATGTGATTTTTTTTTTTGTTGTTGTTATTTTGTTGTTTTTTTGGTACTCATGATTGAATTCAGGACCTTGTGTTTGCAAGGCAGGCAGTGAAACCATTGAACTACATCCCTGGCCCACCATGTGATGTTTTCATACATGTATATATTCTAAGGTGTTTAAGTCATTTATTATTTCTTTATGGTGCAAACTTTCAAAAGCCTTTCCTCTATCTTTCTGAAATGTTCTTTTAAAACTTACATTATTGCTATCTATAGACTTCTTGTTCCTAACTATAACTTAAAACCCAGTGATCAATCTTTCTCCATCCCTTCCTCCCTCTTTCTCTCTCCCCAGCTCCTGGTAACCAACATTCTTCTTTTATCTTTTATAACATTAACTTTTAGATTCCATATATAAATGAGATTATGTGGTACTTGTCTTTTTGTATCTGGATTTTTTCACTTAATGATTTTCAGTTAAATCCATGTTGTTCCAAAAGACAGGATTTTATTCCTTTTATGGCCGAATGGCTTTCTATGGTGTATATGCACCACATTTTTAACCCATTAATCCTCAGATGGACACTTAGATTGTTCCCACATCTCTGCTACTGTCAATAAAACTGCAATAAACATGGGAGTGTAGCTATGTCTCAGACATACTTAAAAGATGAACTAAGTTATATTCCTACCAAAAGTATGCAAGGGTTGACTTTTCTTCTCCCCAGAACTTATTTTTTAAAAATATTTTTTATTGGTACATTTTAGATATACAATACAGTTACATTGACCAGTTTTGACCAGTTAGTATGAAGTTGACTGTTGCTTTTTCACGTACAGCCTTAATCAAGTTGAGAAAAAGACCATCTATTCCAATTTTCTGCATGGTTTTCATCATGAGTGGGTGCTGAATTTTGTTGAATGCTTTTTCTGCATCTATTGAGATGAACATAGGTTTTTTTTGTCCTTGACCCTGATAATATAGTTTATTACATTTATTGATTTATGTATGTTGAACCATCCTTGCATCCCTGGGATAAATCCAACTTGGTCAGGTGTATGATCTTCGTGATCACCCTCTGTATTCTCTTTACAAGCATCTTATTGAGAATTTTTGCATCTATGTTTATTAGGGAGCTTGACCTGTCATTCTCTTTCTTTCGTGATCTTTCCCTGGTTTTGGAATCAAAGTAGCACTTGCTTCCAGGAATGAATTAGGAAGCATTGCTTCCCTTTCTATTTCATTGAAAAGTTTAAAGAATAGTGGTGATAGTTCTTCTCTAAATGTTTTGTATAATTCAGCAGTAAATCCATCAGGACCTGGGCTTTTCTTTGTTGGTAAATTTTTAATTACATTTTCAATGTCTCTGATTTCATTTGGGATGTTTAGAATTTTTATAACTTCTTCATTCAACTTTGGTGATTCATATGTATCTAGAAATATGTCCATTTATTCTGTGTTTTCCCTGTTATTAGAGTACAGGTTCTCAAAGTAGGTACTGATGATCCTCTGGATTTCTGCTGGATATGTTGTGTCTTTACTTTTTTCATTTCTATTTGCATAGATTTGAGCCTTTTCTTTCCTTTTTTTTTTTGATAAGGTTGGCTAAGGGCTTATCAATTTTATTTATTCTCTCAAAAAACCAACTCTTTGATTCATTGATTTTTTTAAGTGTCCATTGCATTGATTTCTGCTCTAGTATTTATAATTTCCTCCCTCGTATGAGCTTTGGGTTTGTCTTCCACTTCTTCTTCTAGAAGCTTAAGATTCAACATTAGTTTGTTTATTTGAGCTCACTGTTTTCTTAGTGTGGGCATTCACTGCTATAAATTTCCCTCACAGAACTGCTTTCATTGTGTAGCAATAATTCTGGTACGTTGTATTGGCATTATTATTTATTTGTAAAAGCAGTCTAACTTCTACTTTAATTTCTGCTGTGACCCATTGGTTGTTCAAGAATGTGTTAATTTCCATGTGTTTGTGAAGTTCTTGTGCTTGCTTTTGTTACTTATCTCCAGTTTAACTGCACTATGGTCTGATAATATACATGAGATAACTTCAAGTCCTTTGCATTTAAACATGTTCTGTGTGCTAGTGTGTGGTCCATTTTGGAGAATGACCTGTGTGCAGCCAAAAAGAATGCACATTCTGATTGTGGGGTGGAACAATGTCTGTTAAATATCTGTTAAGTCCATTTGTTCAAAAGCTTGATTCACTTCTAGTATTTCATTGTTCAATTTTTTGTCTAGATGACCTATCTATTCGTGACAGTGGGGTATTTGGGTCCCCCACTGCAATTGTATTAGTGCTTATTTGGCATTTCATATCCTTTAATGTTTGCTTTGCATAGTTGGGGGCAGTATTATTTGGTTCATATTTATGATTGTCATCTCTTCCTTTTGGTTTGTTCCCTTTACAAGGATGTGGTGACCTTGTGTGTCTCTCTTAGTTGTTTGAAATTTACTTCACTTGGAAATAAGATAGCTACCCCTGCCTTTTTACGGGTTCCTGTCTTATGGAGATCTATTTTCCATCCTTTTACTTTCAGTCTATGAGTTTCTTTTTGAACTAGGTGAGTTTCATGTATACAGCACATTGTGAGCTCTTGCTTCTTAATCTATTCTGCCAGTCGATTTCTTTTGATTGGTGAATTGAGGCTGTTAACATTGATGGTTACAACTGATATGTATTGACTTATCATCACTGTTATTATCCTGTTGCTGGCTCTTTTTAATTTTTTTCCCCTTCTCTCTTTAAATTCTTGCCTTGCCTGCTGGATTTGCTCTGTTTGGGGTCATGGAGTTGTGATCTTCATTGTCTTATTCTAGGATATTATTTAGAATTGTTTGGAGGGCTGGTTTGGTATTCATGAAGTTTCTCAGGTGTTCTTTTTTGGGGAAGTATCTTATTTCCCCATCAATTCTGAAAGATAGTCTTGCAGGATACATCATTCTAGGTTGGAGGCTGTTTTCTTTGAGATCTTGAAATACCTCACTCCAGGCTCTCCTTGACTTGAGGGTTTGTGTTGAAAAGTCTGCTGTGATTCTGATGGGCTTTCCTTTGCATGTGATTTGTTCCTTTTCTCTAAGTGCTTGTAGTATTTTGTTCTTCTGTTGGGTTTCTGGGAGAGCCTAATTATATGTCTGTGTGTAGATTTTTTTTTTTATCATGTGTAGTTGGAATCATATATGCATTACTTATCTGTATATCAAATTCTTTTGCTTTCTTTGGCAAGTTTTTTTTGTCATTCTGGAAACAGTTTTTTATGTCATTTGCACTTTTTCATAGACTCCTATCAGTCTCTTATTATTCTTTTTCATATTATCTAGGAACTGATGGGTTGATTTGTCATGTTCCCTTACTTTTTTTTTTTTTTTTTTTTTTTTTTTTTTTTTTTTTTTCACTATATAGTTGACACTGACCTGGAACTCACCATGTAGCTCAGGCTGGTCTCGAACTCACAGTGATCCTCCTGCCTCAGCCTCCTGAGTGCTGGGATTACAGGCGTGGGCCACCACGCCCAGCTCCCTTACTATTTTTACTAGATCCTTCTTTTCATGGTAACTGACCACCATTCTGTCTTCTATATCTGATATCCTTCTTTAGATTGACTCAGTCTGTTATGTAAACTTGCAAGAGAGGTTTTAATCTGGATATCTGTTTGAATCTTTTTCTTGTATTCCACTTCTTTCCAATGTTGGGTATTCATGGTTTCCATTTCTTTCCTATGCTAGGGATTCATGGCTTCCATCATGGTCTTGAGCTCATGTTTTCTTTTCTTTTTTTTTTTTTTCATGTGTTTCTGTTCTAGAGTCTCTAATCATGTCTTTCATTCTGCTCACCATCTCTGTAGTTATTGGGGAAATTATTTCTGTTTTGAATTTTTCTAGAGCTTCGTTCATCTGTTTTGTTACTTCCTGTGCTATCAGTTCAGGGTGTCCAGATCTGATTGTCGGACTTTTCCACCTCATTTCCCCCAGAATTTGCCCTGGAAGTCTATGTTTGTGCTTGAGCCTTGTTTGAATGTCTTCCCAGTTTTATTTTTGCTGATTTATTCCCAGATTTATTTTTGTTGGTTTGATACCTGGGTTAATACTTTGTTCTTCCTGTTATAGCTTGTCTTTAGGTTTTGAGTGTCTAATGACTCTGAGGCAATCTCTTTTTCATTGTACCAGGAAGGACAACTGATTAGATCAATCAGAACATCTTAGCCTAAGTGATACAATCAGCAACACAAAAGCATCAAAGCACAGTTTAAAAAATGACAATTTGTGGTAGTTATTAATTTATCACTTTTAACTGTGTGAATTAAATCAAAGTCAAGGCTAGAGCTCAGGACAATAGCCTTTTTGACCTCCCTGTGCTTCTGTGGTGTGAATCCAGGTACCAGCACAGCCAGGCGGCCAGAGGTGTGGGGTTGGGGCAGTGGCGCTGGGCTGTAGTGGGGCAGCAGGCACCGGTGCAGCTCTACCTCCTATGGGTCTGCTGCTGATGTTGGGTGGCTGGTGTGAGAGCTGTAGACCAGCTCCAAGGCAGTTGTAACTCTTTCCGGTCTGCTGCCAAGCTTTGGGGCTGGGTGTGAGAAAGCTGTCAGAACTTTCTATCTCAGTCTTTGATAATAGCCATTCTCACTGGGGTGAGATAATAGCTTATCCTAGTTTTGATTTGCATTTCCCTGATGATTAGTGACTTGAGCATTTTTTCATATGTCTGTTGGCCATGTGTATGTGTTCTCTTAAGAAATGACTATTGGGCTGGGGATTTGGCTCAATGATTCTGCTGCCTGCTTCACAAGCACAAGGGTCCACATTCAATCCCTGGTACCCAGCCACCGCCAAAAAGAAAAACTAAGAAATGAGTATTTAAGTATATTTTTATTTTAAGATCAAGTTATCATTATTCTCATTTTGCTAATGAGTTTTTAGATTTCCTTGTATATTCTGAATAGCAACCCCTATTCAAAGGTATACTACAAATATTTTCTCCTGTTCTATACTTTGTTTTTCACTCTGTTTTTCCCTTTGCATTACAGAAGCTTTTTATTTTGATACAGTCCCATTTGCCTTGCCTTTTGCATCCCTTGCTTGTGGAGTTCTGTCCAAATAAATCCTTGTCTCTTTCAATGTCCTGAAATTTATTTTTAAAGTGCTAATTTAAAAACAATGATATGACCTTTAGCTTTAAAGAGACAGAACACCAAATTGTATAAATAGAGTGAATTTCTAATTTGCGGAAAAAGGAAAAGATATATGCCTACACAGATTCATCTGATTCTATGATGAAAATCTTGCTTTAGCAGAAGGGGGAGAGGGAAAGAAGGAAGAGCCTCAAAGTGTGGTTTACCCCTAAATTGTTCTGAATGGCAAAAATTCTCATAAGAGTGCTACACGAGTTTTGTACATCTCCAACAGGTCACCTGATTTAAACAAGATCGTTCTCCATACCTGAAACTCCCCAAAGAGATACACTGTTCTCTCCTTTAAATCCCTAGAGCAAGTATTCTTAAGTTTTCTAGCTTCATGATACTTCTAGTGTTTCAGTAATTTCTGTTATGGCACTCTTGAATCAAAGCAAATAAGCAAACATTTATTTTTCACTGTTTAGGTAAAAATAATAAATATTTGGGTCTAACAAATTAGCAGCCATCTGAAAAAAACAATATGTACATTTTTAAAAAACCTTTTACTTGACTTTCCAACAACCATAATTACTTATTAAGATATATTAGTTGGGCACTACACAGCTCTGCAAACTTTTGAGTTAGATTGAACTGGACAAGACAAGAGCTAATTTCATGTTTCATTTTGATTTTTAACAAACCTGGTTTGTATCATAGAAACCATTGAAAACCCACATTGGAATAATTATGATGTAATTGAAAAGAATGTATCATGAGCTACTATTGAAACTGTGAACAACCTTGAACTAGTAGTTTATGAATGTTCACCATGATTTGTTATTGGCTTTCTCTTGAAGTTTTAAATTATCTGTAAGTCCCTGAAAACTTGCTAAGGAGAACCCAGATTTTAAAATATTCGGTACCCTCTCTGGTTCCAAGGTATTCTGCCTGTGTAATAGATTTGTGTGTACTTTGTTTAGAAATTGCTATCTTTTATAGCTTTTAACTCCTAATAGTATTTTCTCCACAGCACATTGTTTTGGCATTGAATTGAGAATATACGCTATGTGTTTTAAACATACTTCTAACTTTTTATTGATTATATTCATTATTTTATATAAAGATTATTAAATATAAAATGTTATAGTTAAATATTATAGCCTACAATGTTAAATATTTTATTTATATATAATGACTATGTCATCTGGGTAATTGTTTTATAGGAAAAAATGGAAACAACAGGGACATTTAAACCACAGAAGTTTCAGTTGGTGGAAGAAGGATTTAATCCAATCAAAATTTCTGATCCACTTTACTTTATGGATAACGTGGAAAAATCTTATGTGCCTTTGACCCAAGAACTTTATGAGCAGATAATTTTAGGGGAGATAAAACTTTAATATTTTTGTAGATACAGTATTTTCATTTGAATTCCTAAGAAGAATGAGAGGAAAAGACACATGCTATTTGACTTACAATTGGGTAACCTCCCAATAAACCCATCACGAGTTGAAAATGCCATAAGAAAAATGTGATTTTGTGCACTTAATGCATCAAACATCACAACTAGCAACACAGTGCGCTGGGAAATTGGCTGTTTGCCCTTGTGATTATGTGGCTGACTCAGAGCGGCTGCTTTCTGCTCTGTCCAGCATCACAAGAGAGGCGTATGCGACACATTGCCAGTCTGAGAAGAGACCCCGATTGAAAGTGCAATTTTTACCAAATGCAAATAAGAAAAGAAAAGCAAAAATTGTAAATATAATCACCATAAATTGGGAATCATGTATATGATTGCTCGTTATGAAGTGGAAAATTGGAACTAACATTAACCTTTTGATATTTTTCTTACTATGCAAAATAATTTCTTTTTAGTAAGATTTTAATTTGCTTTAATTGATATAAACGTTAGTTGATTGTCCTTTTTCCCTATTTTTAGACTCAGTGCATAACTAAATATTGCCTTAACATTAAAGATTTTCAATAATAAATATATGGTCATTTGTTTAGATTATCAATCAGAAAATACTTTCTAATATGTAGTTTCTAGTGTTTAATAAATGGCTACATTTAACTCAAATATTTTGTGTATGTTTTATTCTATAAGCCAATAAAATCATATTCATTAGTATGTGTCTTTGTTTTGGTGCTAACTGTAAATTTCCAATCAAAGAAAACTGACTCACTAAATGTATATACTCTGACTTCATTTACCTTAAACTCATATTAAGCTGACAGAAGACATGAGAAAATAAGGTACCACAGAGCAGGGAAACTGGTAAGCACGTAGGAATGTCTTGAAGATATGTAAAGGGGATCAAATTTATGATAAAACCAACAGGGCTATAGGAACCACTAATAATGCAGGGATCAAGCTGGAGCCATGACAAGATCAAATACAGCAGGGGCTAGAAGTTCTAAGGCTTGTAAATAGTTAAATGGAAAATCTACCATAAATGCAATGTAAATCAATAAACACAACTGTACTTATCTCTATCTGGAAGGACCAAGTTCCAGTCTTTCCTTTAAACTTCAAGCAAAATAAAGTCTTTCAGCAAGGTGAAATATCTTCCATAGGAAGGCAATATTTTTTTGACCATGTTAAAGTGAGTTCTGCAAAGATTCCTGGCTGGAAAGTGGGCCCCAGTTAGGCAGTGTTTAGGCAGTGGACCCTTTAGGAGGTAATGCCTAGTGGAAGTTGCTCCAGTTATCTGGGGTACCATCCTCAGGATTAATACAGTTCTCATGGCACTCCAGTATGTACAGAGAGGAGTGAGTTGTTACAAAGCAAGGCCATCTCCATGTGCTTGACTTCTACATAAGCTTTTGCCCTTCCCACTGTGGTATCACATTGTGAAGCAGCCAAGGGGGCCCTCACTGGAAGCCAAACAGATGTTCCAAAACTGTGAGCTAAATAAACCTTTTCTTTCTTTTTAATTAACCAGCTTTGGGTATTTTGTTACAGCAAGGGAAAATGCATAAGACAAAGGACATTGGAGAGCTGGACTGAGAAATGGATTTAGACCTAGCAGAACCCCAGTATACCCACAAATCTAGATCCCTGCACAACCAAAGGAAAAGTCTGCTTCCTTCATGTTGTGTCCTACATTCTAAGGAGCTTGCTTTGCTTGCACTGAAGTTGTAGAAAATTCAATCACTGTCACTGTTAGGAAAACCTATTAAAAAATTAAGAGTTGTTAAATATAAATTGTAAATGCAAGAGCATATAAATAGGTCAAGTTTTATAGTGAAACCATTAGAAAATATAATCAATTTTGCAAAAATTAGTTTAAAAAGATGAACAAACACTATGGTAAATAGGGAAAGTTTTAAAAATAAAATAGGCCTGAGTGTTCCAAGGCACCAATATGTAAAGGAAATAGATTAATTTCCTATATTAAAATGGATGTATAAATTAATATTTTATTTTTTATTAGTGAATGGTTCTTCTTTGCCTTTCTAATTAAAAATTGTTCTGTCTCTTAAAAACATTCAGATATTCTTTAAGAATTATAAATGAGTTAACATGTTTTTACTAATTTCTAGTTCTTTAAAAGTTTGGAAACTGAGTCATGATAGTAAACTAAATACGTTTATATCAACCCTTTTCCAGTATTTCTCTCACCAAGTCCATTATTATTAAATGGATGTCCCTTGACACCATAACGCTAAGTGAAATAAATCAGAAACACAAGCTTAATTATTGTATAGTTTCTCTTATATGAGAATCCCAAAATACAAATAAAGGACCAAATTACAGGAAAGAAAAAGATAGATCTTTTTGCAAAGAGGAAGGGAATCAAGAGAAAAGGGAGGGCAGGAAGAAAAGAGGATGAAGAGGAATTAAGATGCATTATGTACATATGCCAGCTCCCCAGAGGAATGCAGCTATTATGTGATGTAAATATGTACTGCTAAAAAGTAAAAATTGAATTAAATAAAGGCAAAGTGTTTTGAAGAGAACAATTTGTCTTAAAAATGGGGAGGGAGTGCTGAACAGAAGTGGGTCCTAAGTGGATTAAATACTTTTACAAATTACTGGAAAATAGAAAGCAGAAAACAGATGAGATTAGATATAAAGAAAACAGAGAAAGGAAGATCATCAAACTTTGGCAGTTGGGTGGTGGCATGCACTTGTAAATCCAGCACTCAAGAGGCTGAGGCAGGACTCCTCCCTGGAGATTAAAGCCAGCCTATGCTACATAGTGAGTTTAAGGCCAGCTTGAATTACATAGTGAGACCCTATCTCAAAACAAACAAACAAACAAACAAAACTTTGGCAGATGAAAACTATTTCAAAAGCAGAGGAAACATGAAACATAAGATAAACACATTTAAAGACCAAGATGTGGCTTCCATGTAATTATCACAATATTTAATTACAGAAAATTGAGGCCATGAGTTTCCTTGGCTATTTCTTGTTTATAGACAGCTTCTATCAGCAGAGATAATAATTCATGACATAGAAGAAAAAAAATTAAAAAATAGTACCACATAAGCACAAAAACTTTTTAAAGACGAAAGACAATAACAAAGTTTTTAAAAAGTTAGCACTAGAAAAAAAATAACTAGAAACTAGACAAAACTGTTATCACCTTTATTATATAAGGAATTTCATAAATAAAATATGAAGGCAAAATAATTACTATGGAAAGTATGAAAATAGGCAATTTAATGATACAAAAATTTTAAAACCAACTTATCAAATCACTTCATAAACCACTATGCACACATTGTGTGTGTGTGTGCGTGTGTGTGTGTGTGAGTGTGTGTATAAAATGACATGTTCTAGGAATGCACTGGTAACAACATCAAGCCTTCAGACCAGGGAAGACATTAAATAACTTCACTAAATCAGGGACTGCAAATGTGACAAGTGCTACAGAAGGTATTCGACCTCATTGGCAAAGAAAATAAAAATCATGCCGGGGATTTAGCTCAGCAGTGCCGCCACCTGCCTTGTGCCCTGGTAGCCCCCCCAAAAAAAGAAAGAAAAATTAAATAATAAAATCTGGTCTTTTAAATTAGGCAACTATATACATTAATAATAGCCAGGTTGGCCAGGCAGGCTATAGGGAAATTTCAACACTATAGTACTTCTATTTAAAGTATAAATCAGTACATCTATTTGAGAAACCAGGATGACAGTATTAATTAAAATATTAAATGGATGTACCATTCAAAATGACACTCTACTTTCTGAGAACATATAGTACCTCTGGTAACTTATGTACATTTCCATCATGAGCCATTAACAATAGCTTTTTACTCTTTTAAATAAAGAAAAATATAAATGTTGATAACATTATATAGTAGATGTGTGATCATTAAAAATAATAAGGTCATTATTGATTTTTAAGGCATATTGTAAAGTAAAAATGCATATTGCTAAGCTTTGTGTATAATATGATAAATTTATATAGAAATCACAGAAAACTACTCTTTTGTACATTCATGCATAGGTAAATATAAAAATTTGAAAAAATTAACCTACTAATAACAGAGATTAGCTTTGGTGAGGAAAGTTGTAATAAGGCACTGAGAAATGTGTGGGGTTAGGAAGAAAGGGAAGATGGTGAGAAATGAAAGAGGACCTTAATTTTTATTTTATGCCATAATAGCATTTACATAGCACAATATTTTTGTCATCTGAGTAATTTAAATTTAATAAACATAAAATAGTATTTATTTACTCTCCACTAGTAAGAATCTTCTTACTACAAACATATAAAGTTTACAATGGAAAATTTATTTAAATTAATTAAAAATTAAAGTAAAATGGCATATAAAGATTAGAAAAGTGAAACAAATTTTGTTTTATAAGTACAATTGCATTACAATAAGCAAATCTGAAAACCAGAGACTAAATTAATTATCATCTATATTAAGTAACCACAAGGACAAAAACAAGGACTCATGACATTGGCTTCTTAAAAAGTAGAATTCAAAAAGGGAATATTAAAGAAACAAATGCAATGTAAAACCCTTAAAGACTTTAGGCATGAAGCCTATAATTAAAAATGAAATGGAATTATAAAGTAAAATCTTTTAGAAAACTGCCATCATAAATAGAAACCTAAATAAACCTTAGGACATTTGTATATGTACCTACATGCATGAGAGGGGGGAAGAAGTGAGGAAGGGAATATAATCCAGTGTTCAAAGATTTCAAACCTCCATGTAATATTTACCAAAATTTATTATATACCTGGCAACAAAATGTGTATATAGGCCAAATGTTACAGTAACAGTTTGAAATACATCTAACATCAAAACTATGAAGTCTGGAAGAAAACAGAGGTATTTTAAAATGCTGGATTAATGAACAAATGTCAAAATTCTACATGAAACAAAAGTATCTTTTAAGAATGAAGGTGAAATGGAGACAGTTTCAGATCAAAGGTATCTTAAAAAAATTCATGGCCAAGGAGCCCTATCAAGAAGCTAAAGTAGTTTCTATAGACCAAAGAATGCAGCAGCAGCTGGAAACTCATTTCCTCAGAAAGAAATGAAGATTTCTTGGAATTGTTCACATCTGGGGAAGCTATAAAAGATTATTCCATTTAT